ATATAAGTGTGCCAAGGTGGGTGCTTTTAACCCAAAGTGCTCAAGTTTTGACTGATCCGACCCACTATTCGGTGATATCCCGAATGTAGCCATGTTGCTGACCAACACATCATAATCAGGGTGAATCCGAGATTCGAACTGACGGATTGCCGTGCCTGTTACGCCTAAGGGACGCAACACTGCATAGAGAATTGCGGCACCCTATATGAAAGGGGGACAGCCCCTGTTTGTTCTCTAAGCTTCTTATATTACATTCATCAAGTCTGTTTCTTAGCGAATATTAATCATCAACAGTAGATCATAAAAGTCATAATAAACAACGGGCGCGGCCTACCAACAGCTTGTGCAAACATCTCAATATATAACGACTTCATATGCTTGACTACAGATGTTACACGTCCCCTACGTGGTTTTCGGCTCTCGGGTAGTAAATGTGTTTGATAGCCTGATTCACACAGCACTGATAGCACACATGTATCTCCCAGACATATACTAGCACAATAAAGAAACGCAACATTGATGAAAACATCGTATGGCGACGGTAAACGTACAAATGTTAAGGTAACATGTACACTTTATGTGTGTAGGATGTACACGTGACACCGCCTTACACCCATTATTCATATTTAACCGCCAAAGGGTATTTTAAATGAGAGAAAGTAAACTTATAATTAGCTTCTCGGAATTTAACATGCTTATTTACACAAACGTCTTGTGAAATATATCTCAGAACATATCCAGACCAACCCCAAGCATCAACTCAACTGGACAGAGTACACAACACTGGCAACCAGCCAGCCTGACCAAACGAAGATTAACCGAAGCCTTCCACATCAAGCGACACCGACCCCTGATCAATAGAGATCAAAGTTATTTCATCCCCTCTACATACTGCTTGTTTACCTTGTATAAACATGACCAAATTCTCCTGCTCTGTACATCCCGTTGGCTTTTACATGTAAGAATAATGAGGGTACTTATACCGCGAAATTCTCCACACCACAAAGGGGCATGTTCAAAGCGCGCATAAACAGCACAACATTATTTGCCCGGATAGCTGTTAGCCGCTAGAATGTAATAGTCATATGACTTATCCCACCGGGTACCCATTTTTTCTGCTGTTTGAACAGAGGCAATTTTGAACAAACTCACTTGCGTAAGGTGTTTCATTGTGGGGCAGGACAGAAGTCCTGATGCCACACATGGTCCCCCATCCATGGTCTCTCCGCGCTCAACGTTGCTTAACTTCAACTGATTTGTGACCCAGGACCACCCGCCACCACGCATTCCCTTGTCACTGACTTCTACATGTAATCCACTGTCATCACATTGTTACTCTACTTCCCAATTAACTTTTCGTTGTTTTTGTTAATCATTTATATATAACACTGTTTCTACCTAACTCATACTTGCTTGAAACGATACAAGAATATGTATCAAAACGTCGCATAACCTGAATAAAGTGCATGCATAAGTTTGTCCTTATCTGACTATACAACTTCTAAATCTCTCAGTGAGAGAAGTGAATTTATTTCACCAGCATCTAGAGAGATGCGCATATATCTCGAATATATATATAATATATATATCGAATTTCCATTACCTTTGAAGGATCAAACATCAGAAACGAAATGTTCTAACATTGTACTATATTTCTAAAGTTCCAATAGTGGATGCTGCTGTACTGTAAATATAGCAATACTGTACAACTCGGTGAGTTATAGCCATATATGTGGAGACCCGTGAAGATCCGGGGTAGAATAGGTCTTCAGCAACCAATGTGCTTGCCATAAAAGGCGACTATGCTTGTCGTAAGAGGCGACTAACGGGATCGGGTGGTCAGTTTCGCTGACTTGGTTGACACATGCAGATCGATGCTCATGCTGTTGATCATTGGATTGTCTGGTCCAGACTCGATTATTAACAGACCGCCGCCATATAGCTCGGATATTGCTGAGTGCGGCGTAAAACTAAACTCACTCACGCACTCACTCACGCACTCACTCATACATGTGGAGGTCAGATCAGATGGGACACTGTATCTAAGGGAAAACTGAAAAGTGTGTTTAGGAAAACTGGATTATCGGAGATGGTTACAATTTATCACATCGCGAAACGGCATATGCAAGCACCTTTTCCTCACAAAATATTCACATTAAAAACAAACTTCTCCGATCCTGAGCTCCTCAGTCGGGGTTATGCTCTTTCTAAAACGATGGTTTTAATACCTTTGGTTGCTCAAACCATATAATATATCACTCCATACTGTAATAAGGTAACGTGTCTCATTTTATTACTTACAATGTTATTCAGTGTCCAGTGATTGCATTCTTATTCGTGAAACAAGTTATTAGTGAAACGGTAGGCTATTCAATACCAATGAACTCCTGACAGGTAATTAACGGCAGTTGGGGTGATTGAAAAACAACATCAGCTTGCAATTATAGAAGGGGTAAATAAGCAGGCTGGACGCAGGTGTCATTGGCTGTTAATTGAATTAGCCGGGGCCAAATATGACTGAACACTGGACTTTAATTACAGCAACAAGTGTGCTTAAAACAGTTTACTTTAAGACTATGTAAAGTGGTTTTAGGTAGATATTATACAATTCTATAGATATAAACACACGCCGGACCGAAATCGTGTGATATAGACACTATGTTGGGAGTGTGGGAAAGAAAGTGTCACTTTCAGCTAGGTGTTTGCTTAATATAGTTCGCTTAAGACTCTATTAAGTGATATTTGGGCATATATAGTACTATTCTACAGAAATATCGACAAAGAATTGCGGTACCGAGTCTGTTTTAAGAATATAGCAAAGAGGGATTAATTTGAGCAACGTGTCTGCTTCAAATACTTCGCTGTAAGACTCTATAAAGTGGTATTTAGGTAGATATCATACTGTTCCACTGATTTTAAGACAATCCAGGAAATAACTGTAGTGTTTGAGTTGTTTTTCTTCTTTCCATTCGACTGACTGACTTTCATCTTTAAATAATTAAATTTCGCCATGGTCATCGTAATTCTTAATAAGCTAAACTGGTCATGTTCAAAATATTGATTTTACACATATTTTTATTCAATAAATTAATAGGGATTGGTGAACATGCTGTTATGGCTTATATCAACATTGCTACCATACAACATATAACACAAATTAAAGTCAGCACATGACTAGATTATCATACAAGTTAATAACTGCGAGTTACACAGAAAGACAGCAGTTGCTGTTATGTGTATTTGTAATTTTATCTAAATATATCAGATGAACACATGCATGAATACTTGCTCAGCTACAAATTATTGTACCCCAGGAGTTAAATTATACACTGCTGCCTTAGGCTTGGTTGTAGTGAGCTGACATGTATAACAGATTGATCACAACATACATATACATATATATCTATATATATATATATCTGTTATACATGTCAGCGCTATGGTCACTACAACCAAGCCTAAGGCTGCAGTGTATAATTTGACACAAACGAGATCAGAAATTTAAGTCAAACTGAATGATGTTATCAACCTTTTTAATTCAGAGAGTGTAGAGACTCATTACATTTGTGACTGGTTTGAGCGTTATATTTGTGACTGGTTTGAGCATTCATGCCTGTGTATGATTTTGAAAGGAAATAAACCGGTACACAGCTCATTCATATGACATGAGTATATCTAAGTACATGTATTTTAAATGTTTAGGTACAAAGGATATCTCATTTATACAAAACGTGCGCAAAACATTTGAAATTGTCAATTTACTAATTATTTCTCCCTCTGGAAATTCAATGAAATCATTTGAATAAGATTTGAAAATGTAAACTGTCCGAATTATTCCAAATGGTTAATGTGCATGTCATTCATTTGGTTTAGTGTCGTTACCCCTGACATGTAGGACGTAAAAACTCGTGAGGACGTACGGCAGACGCTGATGGAGATGAGTGCTATTCTTCAACTTTTCCAAACATCCCCATAGAAGGCATTCACTGAATATTTGTTTCCTTGTTTGTTTGTTGTTTAACGCCGCACTCAGCAGTATTCAGCTATATCTTGAGGGTCTGGACCCCACAATCCAGTGATCAACACCATGAACATCTATCTACGCAATTAGGATACGAAGTCAGCGGACCTGACCAACCGATCCCATAGTCGCCTCTTCCGACAAGCCGGATCTACATGGACCACGTGTGAATATAACCAACACTATTCCAAACATCAATGTATCGGCCTTGTCGTGCAGTGACTGGTAGTAAAAATGCTCTGGACCACGTCCTCAGATTAACAAAGTTCAGTTCAGTTTGTGCTCACAGAGCGATAGCGATATACCGTGATCTTAACTCACATGGTCTAAAATGGACATAATACAGCCGCAGGGTTAGGTTCCCTTTGTGCAAGTGGGCCCAGGGCCAGATCCCGTGTGTAAATACCCAATTGGCCTTACATGCCCATCACTGAGTCTACACTAACTGTTTACTCGTGGTATTATTATCTTTATCTGACGCTTTCCAGAATTTATATCTCACTTACTTAGATATTGCCCCGATAATATAGAGCACGTATTGACAGACATTGTTTACACATCCTGCCCTACGGGACGCGTCGTTGACAGAAGCGCCTGGAGCAAGTTGTTGGCCAAGACAACATGTCATTGTAGCAAGTGTGTACATATTTACTATGTTTTATATGTAACTATTATGAAAAACACATTTTATAAATAACTGTCATCAGATGTACATGAACATGCTACCTTAACTTCAAGGTTAAATTGAAACCACACCATAATAAGAAACTGAGATATTTTTTAGTGATTTAGTATTATTACCTAATTGCATCTATGTACCGGCAATATCACAGCGAAGGACACTGGAAATGTGCTTTACACATGGTACCGATGTAGGCAATCGAACCTGGGTCTTCTGCCTGACGAGCGAACGCTTTAACAACGCGCTAATTTGTCGTCATGTGGACTAGATCTCAACAACATAGAAATTAACACTTACCATGCCCATGATGTCCAGATTTTTTAAGTATTGTCTGTATTTTTCGATATCTGACTGATTAGCACCATGTCTCAGTGTCTCCAGTTTAGGTACAGCATATGGTTGTAGTTTCTTCATAGCGTCCTTTACACGTTTGCTGGTCTCAATTTCTGTCATAGAAACGTTGGCGAACGAGTGATAGACACTGTCATGCTTCGTGATCTCAACTGGAGGAATGTGAATTGTATGTAACACATGCTCAATGTATTTCACATCCGAGGAATGGACATCCACTCTTACTGGAACTCTGTAGGTAATGTTGTAATAACGTAACATATATAGAAGAACGAAGGGAGCAAGCAGCGCCCCCAGCACAGACCAGTGTCTGGTGGCAAACCACACGGTCCTAATACAACGGCCTCTCGCCAGCATAGCAACTCGTGATCTGTGTCATCGCATAGTGAGTGTATTGCTTATCCGACCATAGACTTGTCGAGGCTTCCGTTCATATGAAACTCTTTGTCATCGCATAGTGAGTGTATTACGTATCCGACCATCGACTTGTCGAGGCATCCGTTCATATGAAACTCTTTGTCATCGCATAGTGAGTGTATTACTTATCCGACCATCGACTTGTCGAGGCATCCGTTCATATGAAACTCTTTGTCATCGCATAGTGAGTGTATTGCTTATCCGACCATAGACTTGTCGAGGCTTCCGTTCATATAAAACTCTTTGCCATCGCATAGTGAGTGCATTACTTATCCGACCATAGACTTGTCGAGGCTTCCGTTCATATGAAACGCTTTGCCATCGATTGACAATGAGACCACTACCCATAGTTCAGGTCTTTCTCCCCAGTTCTGAAATAATGGATAATTTTTACCCAAGTGGCTAGTGGAAATGAAAAGGAGCAACACAAAGACTAGCTACAGCGTCTGAGGTATCTGTGGTAGATGTAGCTATTGACCACGACAGATTCAACTGAAGTTGCTAATGCGCTGGCGCATATATAACCGGAGCTCATTAAGTGTTATTCCAAGTACTTGAGTATATATAGCAAGCAAGTGATGTACAGTTCAGTTCAATTTTGGGGTTTAGCGTAAACGTTTGCATTACCAATTTCGTTGACGAGTGAATGAAACTGAAGAGGCAATTTTGAACAAACTCACTTGCCTAAGGTGAGACGACATGTCTCATGTGCTTCGTTGTGGGGCAAGACTTGAAATCCACGAACCTCTCATGAGTCAAGCTGCCAAATAAGGTCACCCATCCAAGGACTCTCCGCGTTGAAGTTCCTTAACTTCACCTGATTGTGACCTGAGCTCTATGTGCAGGACCACAAGATTAAATTGATAAACCCTTCCAAAACAATGTAAATATGGGGCTGTAGTTTAGACAAACCTGAATGAGGGTGAACAAGAAGGCGGTGTGTTATTGTGAGACCTTAACGGCTAGACGGTGTCAACTGGTGTGTAATGAGGTGAGGTGAGGTGAAATTGGTTTTAACGTCGTGCTCATATGCATGCGTGTGTACGTGTGGCTGCTTGTACTAGCCAAGACTTAAACTGGGCTTATAGTGCTAGCTCACTGAGATACCATGCCGCAGTGAAGCATGAATACCCCACTCAGACACATTATACTGACTCCGAGCCGACCAGTCCTTGTTGTACCCATTAATGCCGAGCGCCAGGCAGGGACCAACAAGTACCAGATTTTAGCGTTTTTTGGCGGCCGGGGATTGAACCCGCGACCTTGCGCTCTCCGGGCGGACGCTCTAACCACTACACCACGGAGGCGGTCTTGGTGTGTAATGAATGGAGTAGCGCTTTTACTGAATGGATGACCGATACAATAAACTTGTATTGTACGTGTAAATGAGAGTGGGAGATTTTAGAGGCGCAATGTTACGACGTAAATTGTAATAAAAACGTAAATTGTAATACTTGCAGCAAATTGTCATATATCTTGACGTAAATTGTACAAAAAAAGTAAATTGTAATAAGAATTGACGTAAATTGTAATACGCAAATTGTAATAAAAATGGACGTAAATTGTAATAATTTTAGTTGCGGTAAAATGTAATAAATATTTATGTAAATTGTAATAACAGTTTTAATCATTCGTAAATACGCGTGTGTTCGTTTTTCGTTGCATTTCATACATTATAGAATCTTGTTAGGGCGATAACTCAAGAAAGAAATGACGGATTTTGTTCAAATTTGGTACCAAGGTGTCGTGGCGCGATTCACCGACACAAGTTGAAGTTAGTGACCTTGAGATAACTTGCAACACAGCAAATATCTGAGAGTTTTGCGAATATAAAAATTGTTAGCACGATAATTAAAGAAAGAACTGATAAATTTTGCTTAAAAGTAGTACCCAGGTGCGTTGGAACGATGTGCGAACAGCAGATGAACTGGGCGACCTTCACATTTATAAAAACTTATGGAAAATATCATAACCGTAGTATCAAAGGTGCTCTTGGCTAATATTCGTTCTGATATATATAAAATCTCCAAATGTCCTCTGATCTTGATTTTTTGGCAAATATATGTTGAGGTTTTAATATGTCAACATATACAGAGGGGAGATTCTAACGGGTATATCTAACACACTAATGCATGTAGAGTTGGGGATGGTGTAGTGTTCTTACGGGTATATCTACATGGGGAGTCCAAAAGGTAGTCAGACTCACCTAGAATATGATACAGCTGTTCTTAGGTTTTATTTTTTCTACATATTATCTGTCAACCTCAAGCAAATTTGTTTTGCTATGTTTTAGCCTCACGATCCCAATTTTGTTTGATTTTTTATCTTGGTACTCCCACAAAACGCAAAATCTCCAATAAAAGCATCCCAAACTTCAGGGGAAAAATGTGCAAGTGAATGAGTTAACATTTTACGTCACATCGGCAATATTTCAGCCATATCGACAAAAACGGTATGTACTAAAAATCAATATATAGACTATTATATACTTTTTAATAAACTGTCAGCGAAGGACAATATAACGACAAGATTATCACATATTAATATAAACTACTTTTTAATAAACTGTCAGCGAAGGACAATATAACGACAAGATTATCACATATTAATATAAACTAGCTTGAGTTCAGTGTAGAATGCTAAATTATTTCAAAACAACTCAATATAAAATCGGGCTATAGATCGCCAGCAACTGAAGGTAGATCACCATGCTAGGGACCATGGGGACGTACGTTACTTCTGCTACTTGCATGGACCCTATCTGGATTTGACGAATTTTGGCGAAGCCATAAATTACAACGTCAAACATTTACGATTAAAAAAGTCTGGCAATGATCAACAAAGATGTGGCCTTAAGTACCCTCTTCGGAGGACAATATTTTTAGCTCCTTCAACCGCTCCGAGTGTACAGCCACTAGCAATCATAGTTATCTATTCATTCGACCAAATTCTAAAAGAACGTATTAATTACAGTACATGATCAATCAGTTGCCTGAAGTCACTCGCCATTGTCGCTCTTTGCAGTTTCGGCTCATGACTTATCCACACTTACGTAATATAGTAGTTTATAACTTTCCAAGGTTCATGTTCAGGCCCGTGCTTTGAACCCTGCTCCTTTGTTTATGTACAGTAAATTTACAGTTTGCACCATTCTTATGCCGTTTATACTGTTAATCTCAATCTGAATACTTGTCACCCACGTTCTCATATCTTAGACGTGGACTGTGTGAGACAAGCAGTGGGGGTAACGATCCATCAACTGAATCATTTAAAACCTTTGCTAAACTGTTATTTTGTTTACTAAACAATGTGACAAACAAAATACTGCCTTGTGGGACACCCTGATCCTGATTAATAATGATCAGACAGGGTAGAACCCACTATTCTTGAAATTGCCTGTCATTTAAACATTTGGTTACAAAAAGATCGACACTGTGATGTTCATTAATTACAGCGTTTTAAACAAATGATTCTAAACGCACTAAGTGATCAATGGTAGTTCTGTTTTTACGAAAACCACATTGAATGTTGGTTATCAGGTTCAAAATATGCAAGAAACATTTTGTATGTTTGAGATTGGTAGAAGTCCGCTAGAATCAAACTTAGATATTAAAGTGCCAAAAAAAGGCAATTTGAAACTACAATCGCTTGTTCAAGTGACTCCCCCTTCACGTTTACTGAAAAGAGCTTGTTTTGGAAACACTAGACCACCCCCTTTCAGATGACGGAGTCATAAGGACATAACTTGTTCTAATGTTTTCTCTCTATTCATGCATGATTCCAAGCGTTCAAACTAAATACTGAATGGCCACACAAGTGTCAGCTCTCAATATGTTGTATATCTGGACACAATGTTTTTGAAAGATTAAAATGGGGGTGTCCTTCAAAAAAACAGTCCCCGCCTAAATATAAATCAAGCAATCCAAATCTCTGACGGGAAGTCATCCTAGTCTATACTGAACATATTTTATATGCTATTATCTGAAGGCATACCATTTTCCAAGAGGTACCAAATGACAGATCATTTTTCATGTTCTGAAAATGTTTAAGAAATATTATACCCCAATTTTTGTTGTGATGACTAATATCTCGTTAACCACATTACCCACATACGTGAAATGACTTTGCTAACAATTACTTCTAAATAAAATAGAAGCTTTGCAAACATTGGACATCAAGAATATAGTTAGCCTGGCTACTTTTTCAACGCCCCTCGTACAATACTTTAAAAAAAAGAGAACGCTGAAGGAAAAAAGACATTTCGATCTCTGAATACATCTGACCTATTTTGATGCAAAGAAATAAGGTAAATAATCTGAAAAGAATAGCCAAGGAAAACTTTTATTCTAATTTTGATAACTATTTATCACCTCAATCTACTCAATCAGGTAGTTATTGGATGATCTTTAATTTTTTGTTGAAAGGTACTACTTCATCGGGACACATCAATCTTGTTGGTCGGTGGGGTAGCCTAGTGGTTAAAGCGTTCGCTCGTCACGCCGAAGACCCGAGTTCGATTCCCCATATGCGTACAATGTGTGCAGCCCATTTCTGGAGAGCCCCGCCGTGATATTGCGGGAATATTGCTAAAAGCAGCTTAAAACCCAACACACTCACTCACTCACTAACTGATGATTCTGGGATACCTTCAGTTTTTACAGATTTGGATAAAGCTCAAACATTAAATGAATATTTTGTATATGAATCAAATGTTAATGATGGCGACAAGACTTTG